TTACAGTTTTTCAGTGTAATGATTGAACAGAGAGGCGGCGTCAGTTACATTTTCTAGATTTTGTGTGGAATTTCAAGTTCGTTGCATTCTGTTACAGTTGCTCCAAGGGATGGCGATGGCGATGAGGATGAGGCTTTGGCTTGGGCTTTGACTCGGAGGAGGCAGCTTGGGAGCCGGGCTTCTGCCGGAGACGGGGTGCATCCGAAATTATGACCACTCGGACCCAATTTACTGGCAGTGTGCCAAGGCCACTGACGTCGTCGACGTCGGCTGACAGCTCACATTGGAATTTGGTTTTTGGAATTCCGAATTTTCATTAGTGTTACAAGTGCGCCGCCATTGAGACGGGGCCAGAGTCGCCAAGCCAACGACGGCGACGGTGACCTTTGAAACACCAAAACACCACGCAGGGAACGGGATATAAATGGATATATCGCTATATTGGACCATATATGTGTCTGTGTGCCAGCGAAATATCCAAACAAGCTTCAAGATTAATGGGCTGCGGGCAGTGGGAAAGTTTTCGAATGTTTGGCATTTGCACGCTCTCCGGGGCGTTGCCAACAGCATTCATATGTGGCAGGACATTCGGAGAAGGGCTTTAAAGCCGCCACAAAACGGTGGCACACACTTTAATTAACCCCTTTTCAATTAGTGCAGAATAGGAGCTTGTATTGTAGGGATATTCAAAAAGCCTCTTCACTTTGATGAATATAAAAGAGGGCTGTACACTTCATTCTATTTAAATTTTGATAAAGGAAGGAAGGATGTTATTCAAATCGTTCTCCAGACAATATCAACTACCCAAAACTTATTTAAAACATATGTAAATGTTAGAATAAATCCACCAATAAAGAGCAGAAAAATCCTCAGCAAAGACAGTGCAAAGGTCCTTAAATTGCAGAGAGCCTGCGCTTGCTGGCTTTATTTTCGTGGCCAGTTCAACTTTTTGGAGTGGCGCTAATGTGTAAAACTATTTAAGTGCCACGCCCTGCGCCTGTTTTCGGCCCCCAGTTTCCACAATTTACCGCCGCCCCCTCCCTGAAACCATAATAACCCCCCCCCCCTGACATTGTTGCAAATTGCCGCTTGCCGCTTGTTGTTGTTGTGGTAATTGCACTGGCGCTGGTTTATTACCCACACACAGAGCCATAAAATGTAATGCACATGATGTAAGTACTCAAAAATATGGCGTAGGATCCGCCGATGCGTTGCCCCCAAAAAGTCCTTACTGCCTGAGACGTATGTCCTGTGACTGTACACAAATAATCTCAACTCCTTGCAGTAACAAATTTTTTGGTGGAATTATGCCACCTGACATGACATTCCGTCGCCGTTTATCGGGGATTTTGGTTTCTGTTTCGGTTTTTGGCGTCTGTCACTCCCCGGCGATAACACTAAGCAAACAAAAGGTGAAAGCGGAAAGCGGATTTGTCTGTATTTGTCCTCACTTCCCCAGTTCGTGTGTCCTTTGTCCTGTGGCATTGTTTGCCCGTGTGCGAAAGCGAAACAATCAACGAATGCGCCACGAATAAATAGCAAAGCTTTTTGCATTTTGACGCATCGAAATATACATATTTAGCCAGGAAGTCACACTCAAACTTTAAGTGGAAATTTAAATCAATCTTTTAATATTTCTTATTTGGGTTAGTTTTTTTTTTATTAATTTTATTGAGTTATACTTGAAGAAAACGTTTCAAACTGCATTAAAGTTTACATAAAAACCCCTTACAATTTCATTTAAAAAGTTAAGTATGATTTATTTATTTTTATTTCGACATTAGTGACATTTAAATCAGCTGGTTAAACAAATTTCAGAAGCGCTAGGTAGCCTTACCAATTGTTTTATTAAACAATACAAATTGTGGTCGAAACTAAAAAGATTTAATTGAATTATTCCAAAGCCAGACTAAATTTAAATTGACAGCAAAACCAATAAAGGAATATAAACAAATATTGTTGAGTGCCTAAAAAAATCTCTAAATAAAATGTAGTAAACGGATCTTGTTACTGGCATTTAAGTTGCATTTTCATGAATCTAACGCGGCAGCTTTAATTCTCTAAAGGGCAACTTAAAAAAAAAACGGATTCTCTCAACTGCATTTCCTATCAGTTTTTGATCGAATTGCTTAAAATTCAATTTAGTTTTGCAGAGAGGAAAAGTTGCCATGTATTTTTGTAGGGTTATCTGAATTTTCCCAGCTCTGTGTGCGTTCAATTGAGGGAGCATGTGTGGGTGTGTGTGCGTAAACAATTCCGCTGTGGCAAATGGATTTCCTTTTGTACGGAATACGAGTATTATCGAAGGCATTTCTAGCCTACGAGCCCCTTCACAACACACACAGGCCAGGCTTTCGCTCTCATAAACATTCAATTCACAAACTATTTCAATTACAAAAGCAGCAGCAAATGCTGAGGAGGAACTCTCGTTGGTACCTGTGTAAGTGTTCTTGGGGGGAAAATGGAGAACCGAAGGAGGAAATGGTGGAGGAGACGGCGGCTTTCCTCGAACAGTTTCCTCTGGCAAACGCACAAGTGCCGTAACATGCACGCGGTTAACAAACAGATAAGGACGAAATAATAGCAATGATAATAACAGAAATTGAAATTAATTTGTAATACTATTTGAGCATTAATTCTAGCATTTCCATTGTTTAAAAATCAAAATTATTCTCCAATTTAATAATATACCTTTAGACTACCAAAGATCTATAGATATTAGTTGTTTAAATCCCAATGAATTAAGACTGTTCTCCAGGATTTTTTGGATTAAAATGAATCTGTTCAAAGTCCAGTCCATCCTTAAATAGTCTCAATATTTTACTATTTTATTCTCGAGTCTAGTTAAGCTCCTATTATTGTGACCCCAATTGTCGCTTGAATATGTTTGTTTGCTTTTAGACCTGCTCTCCTGTAGTCGGCTCTGAAATATTTATATGCAAATAAATAGTTTAGCGGGCTATCAACTTCAACATGGCCATATATATCGCCATATAGAAGGTGTGTGTGCCATTGTCATTATGCGTATATATATCCATATAAAATATATATAGAGGGGGGCGTGTCATAAACAACAGAACACAGAGATAGACACTATAATGCGAAGGCCTGCGGAGGAGCGGGAATCCTTCGAGCCTGGCGTATTATTACCCGTTAATGGTGTGTGGCATTTAATTGCTAATCTATTAGTGCGAAGACAGGACCTTCGGGGAAACTCTGCAACGGCAACCTGGGTCATGGGTCGTGAGTGAGCGGAGGTGGGGCATTAATTGATTTAATTGTCTGGAATTTGTCTTAATTATAAAATCAATAGGAAAACAAATGCTTGTGGAATTTGCACAAGAATGAGCCGCTTAATTAACCGTCGAGAATCTCAGTGTGTGCTTTCAACGGAATTTCCTTTCATGTTTATATTTATAACAGCCACTACGTGTGTGTGGTAGATAGAGCCTTTTTGCGATAGATATTTTATGGTCTTGTTACGCACTAATCGACCGTAATATAATTAAATGGAAAGCCCAAAAGCCCAATCAAAACAAGCTTTAAAAAAACTATAGAAAATGGTAAATAGTAAATAAAAATTACGTAAAAAGTGGAAAAACAAAAACAAACAGCTTGTGTTTGGAATAGAATTTGCATTGGCATAAAATCAGTGGCTTCTGGGAAATATTTATGTGCCGAGACGGAGAGAGAGGTGGCTGAGCGACATAGTGACGCTGTTGACTTTCATTACCTTGCGCAAATAGAGGGAAAGTCATTAAAAATTTTAATGAAGAAAGTTTTTTCTTTTGTTTCCCGTTGTCACCTCCTCAGCCTCATATTTAAATTCTGTTTTGTTGGCAGTTCCTCCGGCGAGCGCGCCCGTTTATTGTTAACAACAATCCTCAGCCGCAGCCGCATCCGCATCCTTGTTCTTATCCTTATTTTCACTCTCTCATAAGCGGCTGTGCTCCTGGCCTGGCGCATGATTTATTAGAGCGATAAAGTGATTAAATTAAAATTGATTTATATGGCAGGCAGGATGGCAGGATGGGGCTGCTGCAGACGACAACTAGCAGACGGATGCCTCCTCTTCCGGTATCCTGATTATTATTTTCCAAGGCCCAATCCCCCTTGAAAGTAAAAAACTTACTAATTTATGCAAAGCAGGCGGGATGGCGGAGAGACTGCCTTAGGCTTCACCCGGGGACGACATGGCGTATGATTAACCTAAATGTTTTCCTCGTCGCAGGCTCTGATTTTCGCCTTTCTCCCCGCCTGCTTTACATTTAAATTACCAAACTAAAAAAAATATCGCTCGAAGCTTAATTTATTTCCCGCTGTGCAGCCAGGACCCAAAAAAAGGTTCCTTACACTGGGAATATTATTGTTTAGAGATGAAACAGGCAAGGCAAAAAGATTCACCAATGAAGTTTTTAATAATTTAATAAACACTGTGTAACGCAAATATATCTCAAGAACACAAAGTGCCAATCAAAATCTTTCTTACATTATTCCATTTGGTTCTTATTTTTTAATCATGGCCCTTTTAACTTTCAAACTAATGTTCGAACAAATTATTTGAACAATTTGTATACCCTTTTGGGACTTCTGTTTCTCCTTCCCGAATTTAGTTTCCATCTAGTTAATATCTCAAGTCTTTTATTTTCAAAACTCCTCATTAATTTCTCTCTCTGCACCAATATCCTTGTATGTTCTTTGTGTATTTCTTGCGTTTGCGGCTTGTTTATGCTGGCCAAAAGGGCAAACGCAACTAATTTGCTCAGCACAAATAAGGAGCCAAATAAATAAAAAGGGAAATTGTCAAGAAACTTTTCCCCGAAACTCGGTTCGATCCGATCGCTTGCCAAGGGCTAATTCATCGCTTAGCCAAGTTTATTGGGCTTGGGCTCCCTGTGAGCCCGCTGGGATTTCGATTTAAACCGGAGTCCCAATCCCAACTTTGTTGCCAAGTATTTGCGGGGATTCCCAGCCAGATGGGAACCCATCTACCCACTCACCGTGCTGGATGCAGTCAGGATGGCTGATGTCCTCGGTGTGGTTTTATTTCGTATTTTTCCTATTTTTTGCCTTTGCTGCTTTTTATACGGTCCTGTCGCCGTTCTGGCTGTTGTGGTCCTTGCACTGACGTTGCGGTCCAAATTGAATTTCACTTGGAAAATATACGAGCATGATTAATCACTTAACGGAGCGAGCCACAGGATGGCCGAAAAACACCGGAGCAAGGATACAAGCCGCTGCCGCCGATCCCGATCCCGATCCCGACATCAAGGACCACCGCATTCCGTCCCGTTTAACTCGTTTACGGGACCGTAAAGACCGTCACTGATTCGATTTGCCAGATTTCGGTTTTAATTAATTTCATTAGTGTATTCTTTAAAGCCACATTTTTCGGATAGTATTTTAAAAGTATTTTAAAATATTTTTAAATTTCACTTCAGTTCCGTTGTTCCAATTTCAAAGTTCGTTAAATTTTAAAGTATTCCCAAAAGTTCATAATCTAAGGAACCAAATTTCAATTTCAATTTTATGAATAAATAAACTTTAAAATATTTTAAACCTCTTTAGGATTTATACATCCTTTTTAACTTTTCTAAACAATTATTTTTCTCATTAACAAATTGATATGATTGAATTCTCAAAAGTGTTACTAAGGTTTTTGAAAATATTGTCAACATTTTTATCTCCTCAAACACGAAAATAAAAATCAAGCCTAAAGTTGTTTCTTTATTATTATTCTATTTTCATTTGTAAATTTTAAAAATTTGTCTAGTAATATTTTTAAATACTTTGTACCATTTAGTAATTGTTTCAAATCTATTACAATTTTCTAAGCACTTGATCTATATTCATTTGCACTGCCTTTGCACGCACACGACGTCGAGTTCATTCATTTCGTTCACGGATTTCATTCACAAAAAATTTAGACACGATTTCACTTTTGGCAATTCCAAATCGCGAACCAGAGACCAACGCGGCCAGAAAGCCACTGAAGGCGGTCGGAAAGTCGAATATCGAGGAGACACGCGGCCAGGACCTGCCACGAAGGCGCACAGCACAGGAGTGACGATGGGAGGACCGCGCTCGGTCCCGAGCCCGAGTCCTGCGACTTCGTCAGATGGCACGAGGACGATGATGGCAGCTCTGCCTGCAAGAAGCTACCATTGACGGTTCGTTTTGTTGGAGGCAACAGCAGCCGCACACACACAAACACACAAACATAAACACAGGCACGACCATTTGTTGCAACTGCCAGGACATTGGGGCGCTGTAAGTGTGTAGCACACTTTTGTGAGCCTGCGGAGCGAAGCACGCAAAGGACATTGCGACGATGAGAAGCCGGTCACAGGCCAGCTGTTCGCTTGGCGCCAAAATTCTTTGTTGCCTTCGCGCAGGCTCCAAACTGTCATACGGCAGAAGTTTTGTGAACTGTATTACAGTGAGTGACAGGAGCGGTTCAGAAGCGTACGCTGGTGTTTATTCACTAAGGGGAAAACTTTATTTTTATTAATTAATTTCTTATAATATTAAAAACTAAGATAGGAAAGCTTTTCGAATTTAAATTAATGAATTTCTTTCTTAGTTTTGAGTTTTTTAAACTTTGCTTTGTATAGCAAATTATATATAAATTTAAATATTGATTTAAAGAATGCGACTATTCTTAACTGAGTCATGATCGATCTCCGATTTGATCCTATAATTCAACGGCTACAAGAGTAAATTATAAATTTTGGCTTTCTGAAGTTCGATTTGTTGTTTGCTTGTTTCATCCGTTTATAAATACCTTAACTTTATAAATATAATGATTCAAACTTTTATATTTTACATGTAAGTAGGTATTTAGGTATGTCATTACTTTATAATTTCTTGAATATTAATTTAAACCATGATAATTATAGCTTTATATGATCATAATAATATTCCTCACTGTGTAAGTAAATTATTAATTCCTTCTCTAACCGAATTATCACTTTGCCACTCCTCACCTCCTGGAAATCTCTTCGTTTTTTATTACACTCGTTAGACCTGCCCCTTATACCGGATTATGCCCGAAAGGGATAAAAAAGATGCAAAATATTCGGTAAAAATGTGGCACACAAAATACTTGTCTACCAGTTTTACACATTAGGTATTTAAAAAGTTATTAAGCAAACTTTCAAATTAAATACTCTGGCTTAAATTGTGCGAGGGACCCCTTACACCTACACCTACACATCCTTGCACACACGAATTTATAATTATATATAGTACTTCGAGGGGAACTCTAGGGGTGTCCTGGCTGGCACTTGATGCCCGGCCCCGTGCTTGCCCCTCTCATTTAATGCATTTTGCATGTGTAAAGAGTGTTCTTATTATTATTTCCCTCACATTCGGAGGCAAGGAGCACCAAATTAAGGAATTCTGTCTGCGAGAAGTAATTAAAATTGTGAGGAAAGCCATTATGTTAACATTTGACAACTAAATCGGTCCGGAGAAGTGCTTTAATTGAGAGAGAGCCTGTGCTTGAGTGTTATCCTGGCCAGAAAATATTTTATTTTAGAATATATATGTGTCGAGATGGCAATTGGAAAATGCAAATGCAAAGCCGACCCCGGTCGGAATGAGATTAAAAATGCATGACATCAATTATAAGAAGTTTTCTTAATTTTCTTCCGCCCATAACTCACATCGGTGCTCCTTCTTTCTACAAGCAAACTTTTTTCCGACAAGGGCACACACACACACAGGCACACGCACATATTTTCCTCCATTTTCACATTTCCACACAGAGCGTTGAGCGCATTTGTTTATTCCTCGATTGCGTACAAACATTTGCATTTGCATAGACAAGTTAAAAGCATCTTCTTCTGTACTCCGCCCCGCCAGGAAAATCCTACAAACACGGTGCGAAAATGTCCTCTCCAATAGATTTAAAATACACAATTTTCCAGAAGATCCTTCAATTTATTTTCTGACTTAAAAACTATAATAATTATAAATATTTTGGGGACCCAAGAATATATATGTATAAACTTAACTTTTAATCTTTCATTAATAATAAAAGCCAAGTAAAGTCCCCTCTGGCTTCATGCTTCATTTTATAGAACATATTTTGTTCAAATTTTCTTTCAATTCCCCAAAGATTTTCCTTTCTCTGCACACCGAAGGACCCAGAATCAGGAGCAGAACGAACTTCCTGCTGCCTGAATGCATCTCAGAGTCAATGCAGCTGGCGCTGCAAATGTGTGGAAAAAGTCCTGCCAGCGTCCTGCCTCCATGCGAGATTGCAGATTTCATATGCAAATTTTGCACTTCTTCAGAAAATTATTCAAATTACTTGTGAGCGACAAGAGCGAGTCCTTGCCATGTCCCCTTGATCCACTATCCTGGCCGCCAGCCCCCTGCCGGATGGATGGGTATAAACAAAACGGGACACCTTTTCCCGGGGCGCTCAAACAAGTCAACAGCCTTGGCCGTTTGGCAGCCACATCGATGGTCTAAATAAAATGTAAATATTGCCCCCATCAATCAGGGAAAGTCGGCGAGGGAAATGGCAGAGCGGGTTCATGGCTTGTAATCCCTTAATATTATTAAATAATTAACACGCATTACTCGGCTGGTTTATGGCAGCTTTGCAACTTTCTCCATGGAACCCGGAACCTCGCTAGGATTTAGCCATCAAAAGATAAACGCAATTACGGCCCCAGGGAAGAGTTGAGTTCCCGAAAATTGAAACCAAGACAAAAGCCGCGCCGCGAAACATGCAAATTAGCGTGGTGGAGCGCGGCGAACGAGTTAAAGTTCGTTTTGAGCCGAATTTGCATATTTAAATGGCATTCTGCCAGACACTTGACAGTCTAACTGGCAGTTGGTAACATTCACCGGCGTCCTGCCTGCGACCTGCCCTCTGCTCCTTGATCCTGTCACTCCAGGACGAAGGCGTCGGTGACAGTCGTCGGTGCCTTGTCACGTTTCTGTTGCCTCATAAAAGTGAGATTGAATTTTGAACGGGGTGGCCAAGGCAACTCGTGCTGCTGGTGCTCCTTCTGTGGGTCCTGCTCCTTCTTGGATTTGGAATTGCCTCAACTTTTCCGTCCAGGGTGTCTGCGCTTAATAGGCCGCATGAACTTGAACCCAGCGAGCCGCGCAGTGATGCCAACAAACAAACATTGAAAGCAGCAAAGAAGAGCACAGAGAAAATGGGTGTACTTTCAATCACAGTTTTACAAGTATTTCACTTTAAATAGTGCTATAAGTTACAACATAATACTTAATTAAGGGAGCTTCCTTTATTTATTTATAAACCTTTAGTTTCAGAAGCATCCCCCACATATTTATGAAACTTGAAGTGCTATAATTTGTCGGTCAAATAGTATATTAGTTATACTTAAATTAAATTAAGGAGTTATTCCTCATCTCACTATATACTTAAGGAACAACTCTTATTTCCTTTTTAAAAGCAAAGATTATACAGCCAACACTGTTCAACGCGAATGATGATGAGACAAAATTGTTGCACACGTGCCAGGATCCCAAGTTAAAGTGAAAGTCGAGCCGAAAGTTTGCTACGAAAATGCGGAAGTCATTAACGTCTGGTCTGAGTCGATTTAGTGTCATGTTCGTGCTGGTGTGTGTGTTTTCGGGGTAACTCCTATTTATAACTACCCATCAGGGGCAACGAAAGCTTTCGCATAATGATGAGTGAAGGATTTATTTTACGACCCCGCGGCGATTTAATCCTGGCTGGTGAATCAATGCACTTTTATTTCATCCTTTTGAGAGTTCAAAGTCATGGATACCTTTTCGAATTTCGACAGTTTTAAGCCTTAGGGAAAGCGAAAGAAGTAGAGAAGAAAAGGGTTTGGTTTCCAAAAAAAAGGTTGATTGATTTATAATGCAAATAAGTGGAAGCAACTTTAAGTGTAATAAATTAGGTGTAGAGCCATTAGCTTACATTTCATATTAAGAAAAGTGTAATATGTTAATTTAAATATCAGTATTCTAAAAAACCAGCTCTTAAACTGAGTGCACAGTTCAAATTTGAATTGGAATTCGGTAGACATCCCTTTTAATTAAATCAAGAAGACTTAATCAACCCGAATGTCCTTGTATCACTTCACTTGAATCTCTTGCAAGGGACACATTCCACTGTCATTTTGTGGCAACGATACATACCTGATACCTTGATACCTGAATTAATAGCCATCAATCAATGTTGAAAATTTTGAAATTTCCATTTGCGGCAACGTAGTTGATTTTTGGAGGGAAAATTGAGAGGAAACGCTGCCCCAAATCCATGTACGATGTGTGTCCCAACAGAGACGAGATGTTTGATTGACACAACGCTAATTGGCGGCCATTCGGGTTGTCCATAATATGCCAGGATTGCAGGGATTACGCAACATGCGTGCCAAGGATAATCAGCAGACAGACTCTGACGAAAAAAAGTCTAGGAAAAGTCTGGGGAGGAAAATCAAATCACAAACTTGTGGCATAGTTTCGGCTGGTCGAAATAAATCACGACAAGGATTCGACGACAAGGACACTGGGTATGTACACGCAATGATAAATCGAAAAATATTTTCACTTGTTTACACAAAACAATTCGAAGCGACAGACCAACTTGAGGACAAACTGGAGGAAGCTCGACAAAAATGTCCGACATCTTCAGCCAACTTGGACTTCTCCTTCTGACCAACAGAACTCAATAAAAAGTTACACAGACTCGTACAATGCCTTTAACACTTGAAGAAAATGCAGAACTAATGGAAAATGTATTAAAAACAAATGTTTTATAAGATTAAAGAAAAGAGTTTCCTTGGTTTCTTAAAAAATGTTTCTTTACTTATGTCTTGAGTTCAGATTTATTGAACCCTTGCAGGGTATTACAATGCATTTTTGGCTAAGTTTCAAGTACGACTTTCCTGTTCAAATATCAAATTTCAAACGTTGGTTTCCCGAAGTTTTTTATTTTTCGTTTTAAAATCTTTATTACATTACTTAGCTTCTTAGTTGCTCAACTATTTAGTTGATTTTTCATCGATCTTAGACTTATATTTCGCCAACTGTAAAAGGTCCTTTTAATGAACGAACAAACGGACGAGCTGCGGAGGATTACGCTGCCAATGGACAGTGACTTCCCAGACGACCCCAGGATCCGCAGGAACCCCAGGAACCCCCAATCGACCAGCCAACGAATCGAGTTGAGTAAACAACTTGCGCGTCCTTGTCCACTTTTAGTCCTTGCCACCAACACCCCACTCGCCGCATTTCAAGTGTTAATTGTGTGCGTGATTTAAGCTTTGCTCGGCGGGACTCCTCGGATCCCGGCCACCCTCTTGACCAATTCGAATAATTGCTTTTTGATTGAGTTCAATGCTGCGGAGGCTTAACTTAAATTTGAATTCTCAATCCGGTGGCACGCGTTGAAGGCAGAGCAAGGATATATCTTCAGTCCCAACTTGGCCATGTTCTATCCGTTGGAGCTACCTCGGCCTCGTCGGCCCATAAATAGGGATTATGGTGGAAATGCAGGACTCATCCAAACGCCTAAGCAAGATGACAGACGTGGTCCACAAAAAATATTGAGGTTAATGCTGCCCTATCTCAAGGACTATGCCGCCACCTCCTCCGTGCATGGCATACGATATCTGACGGAGCCAAAGATGAGGAACTTTGAGAGGTGAGATGAAGAAGATATCGAATGTTTGAAATCCCTAACTAAATATATTTTTATATGTTTTTATTCAGATTAATTTGGCTTGTGATCCTGGTGACCACCTCCATAGGCGCTGTTGTGGTCTATGTCGATCTAAGCGATCTCTACCAATCAGTTCGCATTCAGACCACGATTAAGAACACCATGCTACCCATATTCCGAGTGTCATTTCCCTCGATTGCCTTGTGTCCGCGAAATCGGATGAACTGGCAGATACTGGAGAACGGAGCTGCGGAACACTTCCTGGGAGCCAATGCCTCGGAGGTTCAGAAGGACGTCTTCCTTAAGTTCTTCACTATTGCTGCAGATCCTCACTTGGCACGCCTCGGAGAGCTATCGAGTTTCTTTAGGAACGAAACTCTGACTGATAATCTTTATTTGTTGGATGGGTTGGATCTGGCGAAGGTGTACGAGTATATTCAGTTCAGGTGTCAGGATTTTATGCATTCCTGTCGCTGGCGGGGGAATCCGATGAATTGCTGTGAGGCCTTTGAGCTTCAGTTCACGGAGTCGGGCTTGTGCTATGTTTTTAATACGGCAATTAGTCAGGCATCGCGACAGAGAGCGGTGGGTGGTACAGATATTCCATAATATATTTGAATTTAATTTCCTAAATATATTTTGTTATCATTTTCCTGCAGAAAGAGGACAAGTTCTACCCACTTCGCACTCCCCAGTATGGCGAAGGATCCGGCCTCGATGTTTTCCTGCGCATCAACAGATCCCTCATTCGTCCTGGCAAACGTGGCGTTAATGTGATGATCAAGCAGCCGCAACAGTGGAGCGACGTCATCCGCCATGTGCCCCATGAGGCACACACCAGGATCAGCATGGTGCCGCGGCTCACGGTCACCGATGAGCGCACTCGGGCTGTGAGTCCTGTGGCCCGTCGCTGCATCTTCCCGGACGAAATCAATGATCCGTACTACAAGAATCTGCCGGGATTTACCTATTGGGTGGGAAACTGTCGCACCAAGTGTCATCAGGAGCACGTTGTCAATCTGTGCAAGTGTTCGCCACACATTTTCTTTCCCGTAACGGATAAGGGTGAGGAAAATAGTGTTAAAGCCAGTCTTCATTCATGCTGTCAATTGATTTTCTTTCTTTTTATAATATTGGAACATACTTTAGGACTTGATTTTGTAAATTAGTTAAATTTATTAAATATGGTTAAATAATTTTCTTATTTATTTTCTTTTTAGATAATTTTACAATCTGCAAAGCCTCGGAATACAAGTGTCTCTACAATCACAGATGTAAGCAGTATTAAATTTTATTTAATAATTTATTTAATTCGCTAAATTTTATCCCCATAGTAACCTTCAGCATCGAACGTCATCCCGAAGAAAAGGATTTTGTGGACAATTTGTACAAGGAAGGAATGATCTGCGATTGTTTTACCAGCTGCACCCAGCTAATATTTGATCGAGTTTTTACCACAACAACACTGGAGTAAGTATTACCTTAAAATTGATATAATAAAAATAAATCTGTAAGTTATTTTTAGTAACAATGAAACGGACACCGAGGCAGGCACTATGCGTATAGATATATTCTTTCAGTCCGGTTGGTTTATTCAATATCAAACCACCATGAGATTTACCTTTGTGGAGCTTTTGGGTGGGTTCAATTCATAATTTGACTCAATTCAATATGAATTATGCATTGAATATTTAATTTTAGCTAGTTTTGGCGGCGTTATTGGACTTTTTCTTGGCGCCTCTCTCTTGAGCGCTTTCGAATTGGCCTACTACTTTTCCATTGGCCTTTATTTGTACTTGCGAGGTGAAATAAAAAGGGAAAAACTTAAAAATAAAGCCATCATAACCATACCCTTTGGACACAGAAAAATAACACCCACCAAGAACATTTATTAATTGTTTTATTAACTACAATATCCATGTGAATAATGCTTACATAAACAAAGAAATAAATATTTAAATACAATACAAACTACCAAGCATTTTTGCTTTGGTTAAACGGATGTCTGATTTGTCCTTTTGGAGCCACAGGATGCTCGGCCAGATGATGGACTTCGTTCTTCAAGTAGCTCTTAAATTTCCGCCACTTGAGCCTGATTTGTTTTCTCAGGACTCGGTAATATTTGTTGTCATACAGATGCATGGCCAGGCCCACTGTTAGATAATAAACCAACTCGAAAGCACTGACCATGGAGGCACCCAGGCAAAGGCCAAAGATTCCGCCCAGATTGGCTTTAAATAAAATATTCAAATTAATAAAATACAAAACTTATAACCTTGGAGCGTATACAGATATACAACCTATTAAGTCAATAATGGTAAATTCCAGACTTGTTCTATACAGAGGCGTAGTTTCCACCTGGTAATGCACATCAACCTTGAAGAGCTTCTGCTTAGGATCCTTGGGGCTGCAAAGGAAGATATTATTATTTAAATAGTGCAGCGAGAAAGGGGTCACAGTTTCTACAGTTTGTTGGCCGACAAAGGCAACGTGGTGGTGGCCGTGTAATAATCCATAAGGTAGCAGTTCACCAGACAGGAACAGGTCATTCCTGGCTTTGTGGCACTAAAGAGGGCATCCTCATCCCGCCGTTTGTCATAGCTGAAAATGTCTGCAATGAATTGGGAGCATTATATTAGGAATAAATCCTTACAAATCTGTCTTACCATTGTGACGCGCCAAGCATCTGAGACTCGTTGCATCGCATTCTTTAACTGAGAAGGGAAATAAATAAATTTCGTTTTTTTTTTAGATATTTCTTTCTATAGCTTAAGAAATGTTTTTATTTTATATTATTATTATTTATATGGTGGTTTAAATCAGACCTGAAAAGATGCTATGTTTGGGAAACCGAAAATTCTATCAAAGTTATCATAGCTCAGTTAAAAATTTATAAAGATTCAGAATATGATTTATATTGTCGGAAATGATTCCTTAACTGCATTGTATGCTTCTCACTGAAATTATATTATTATAAATATTATATTATATTATTATAATGCCGTGCAAGGGTATAACAATTAACCGGAAATGTATAACAAAGAATATTGTTTGTATAATATGAAAAAAGGCAAATATTTTACTTTGCGCTATTTCTTTTTAAGAAAAAATAAAAGATTTAAGCAAGGGTTTATTTTCCTTAAAGCGAATCCTATTGCATTCAGCCTAATAGCATGCTATAAATATGGGGGAAACATTTAGTGCGCATAAAAGACAACAGATGGCGAAAGCCTCTGTTCCATCTAACTTCCACACTTTCTACTGTGAGTTGTGCTCTTTCGTTTTCTTCTCAATACATTATTTATCTCTAAATTAATTAATTTACTTAAAACTCACCCCTCTTGTTATACAAAAAGAAAATGGGCAGTGAGCAGTTACAGAGCTGAACCAAGTAGGATTCGTGGCATCTATTCAGACAATTAGTGAGCTGAAAGTGTTTTCCGTACTTCTTGGCCGCGTCATCGGTGTCCAGCTCAATTTGCTCGTCCGCAAAGAGGCAGTTCCTCCGCTCCGGCGGTATACTACGGGTGGAATCATCCGTCCAGGTGAGATCCGGACGAACGGTGACATAAGTCTCCGTATTTTGGGTCATTGAATACACGACATTGTTCAACTGATCTGGTTTCTTAATCATTATCTTCAGGGAAATAAATACATATTTAAGAAAATATTTAAGGATTTTTTATCAGCCTTACATAAACATTATCATTTGCCTGGGAATCCGGTCTCTTGAAGCTCTCGTTGATGACCAGATCAAAGTTCAGTCCCGTGCTCTGACCCGCCTTGGCATTGTGTCTGGGATAGAACTTGACGCCCTCCTTTTCCCTGATCGCCTTGGAACGCGGGGAAAGTTCAGAGTTGAAGATAAGGCATACTCCAAACTCCGTCTTTTCCGGCACAAAGAACTCGCAACAGTCGAAGGCAGAGCCACGCCACAGGCAGGACTTTGGCACCAAAATTTCTTCACATCGCAGAGTTAAAAACATTGCCAACTCGGTGAGGTTCACAAAATTCACTGCCTCTAGATTATCGTCATCCAGCTGGGCCAAACTGGCCATGAAGCTGCCAAAGCGAAGGGTCTCCAGGCGGGAAACCAGGACGGTGAAGCTCTCGACCAGCTCCACGCTGGAGTTCGCCGGCAGGAACTCCTCTTTGGCCGCCTCCAACTTGCTCCAGTTGATGCGATTGTCCGCGCAGATTCCCACGGCGGGAAACTGGACCAGGAAGACGGGATACTGCGGATCGTGAACCACGGTCTGCAGCTTCTGGGACACAAAACGCTCCGAGAGCAGCAGATAAAAGAAGCAGGACAGGCCCACGCTGATGATGAGCAGCACACACCAGATCAGTCTGGCGGAGAGGTGAAATTATTTATGAAAATTATGTTACCTATGACTCACCTCTCCACATTATGCAACTGGGGATCGTACAAATAGCGGACGCAGTGAATCGTTGACTTTTCGCAGTAGCTCCGAAAGTACTCCCTCAGCAGGTCCAAAAGGGACTTCTCAGCTGCTGCCGCCTCGACCGATTTACGAGCGATATTACCTTTGGCCATTCCGCGGAATCCCGTCGATTCGTCACTCAATCACACTGAGCTTTGCCCGGGAATCCGGGGAACCCTTTTATGGCCACAGACTTCGCTTCTGCCATCCATTACGGCTCACAAGCTCTGTAATTGAGTAGTTATGTTTCCGGCGGCCAATTGATAAGCGCCAACAGAAGTGGTTGTCTAGCTCATTGATTAGCCGCAGTCAAACTGCCAATTAGCCATAACTTTCCCACAGTTTCAGTTTGGGAGCCGTCGCGAAATGAGTCCAGTTGCGTGGAAGCCCGATGATAATGATGATGACCCCGAGGACATCAAGAAGGGGAAGTCTAAGCCAGAGAGTTCATTCGTTTCGGCCCGAAGGTGAGTTGGGAGCTTTCTAATAAGTGCGTGCTAGGAATATAAATAATAATATGGCAAGAGTCGAAGAAGGAACTTGGTAATAGTAACACAAGTAACGCTCATACATCTTGTTCAGCGACACAGTGAAAAAAAATCAATTTAACATTATATTATAAATTGTAATATAGTAATAATTTATAAATATTTTTCAAGGTACGCCAGAATTCCCCTTAAAATAATCGCCGCCATTGCCACTGTCTATGTGAGCGTGCTCTCCTCGGAAAGGTATTTCTACTACTGGGTACAGACCACCATCGAGCGGACGGATATGCATGTGTCGGAGATCAAGTTCCCAGCCGTGACCATTATCCCGATGAACTTTACTAGCCTAAATCGATCGGAGAAGTCGGTGCGTTACGAGAAGGCCTTCAATCTGGTGCAATCCGTGATTTGGCAGACTCCGGTAGCAGCTCGCTTTGGGGAGGAGAACTTCACCGAGTTTCCCGATCTCGAAGACTTTAGCCTGACGTCGTGGAGCATCTCCGCCTCCTGGCAGCTCAATTGCCAATTTTTCTTCACCGAGTGCCAATGGCGAAGGAAGGCGGTGAATTGCTGTGACATCTTTCGGCCGGGAAAGACCTTCAATGGTTTTGCCTTTGTATTTAACACCGAGCTGCCCTCGGATAGGGATCCCACCTGGCCGTGGTCGGTGGCTGCTTCGGGATCCCAGAGTGGACTTAATGTGAAGATACGGCGGAAGCAAAGTCTGTACACTGTTAATACGTTGGGGGTGAGCTATTACTAAAAATTAATACATATTTATGTTTGTTTATATTTCTTTATTATTTTTATACCCTTGCAAAGTGTTTTTTTTTATTTTAGTCAGAAGCTTGAAACTTAGTGAAGCTGTCATTTCCGACCCTATATATCATATATATGCTAGATCAGCTTTTCGAATTAAAATTGGTGCTTATTTGGCTTAGTTATGATATGATCATATAACTCAATTGCAAACTGAAAAGGTGTATCAACTTTGGCTTGTCGAAGTTAAATTCATTTCTTTTTATTATATTTAATTTATCTCTTACTCGGTCCAGGTCATTGTCCATGAACCCGATCAGTATCTGGGCATGAGCATTGACTACTCCTCTGAAGATCGCATTGTGGTGCCAGTGGAGCCTCTAAGTTTTTCTGCCGAGGACGATGTTCGAGCCCGTCCCATTTCCATGCGACGTTGTTACTTTAAGGTAAAAATACTGTACATAATTTTAGTTAAATTGATAAATTAATTAAATTCCCCTTTAGAGTGAAATCAAGGAAAGGGCATCTCGTTCGGAGTGCATTTACAAGTGTCATTACCACTACATTCTGAACAAATGCAACTGCACAATTAATCTTCCAATGCATGCCAGGTCGAGCGAGGAGATTGTCGAAGCCACAGATCCAACAGGCAGGAGGATTTGCGGTGTTTCGGATCTATACTGCTTTAATAAGCACAAATGTAGGGCCGCTAAAGAAATAATAATAAACTTTTGTAGTAAAGTATTATTCTCCTCTTAGTAACCCTTTTCTCCATGAGCAACATCATCGAGGAGTCCCGGGATAACAAATTCACCACCGTTGACTGCGGCTGCTTTCCCGAGTGCGATCACACCCAGTACCACACCTCCACGTACACGGAGAAAATGAGCACCTTCACCAGCCATGCCTCGGAGATCGAGATAGATGTGTACTTTCAGGAGGAGACCCTCTTCTCCTACCGCTCCATGCTGCGCTTCACCCTCATCGATCTGATGGGTAAGAGTCGAGCCTTTCCCCCTGAATCTCTGACTTTAATCGTTTCGTTTTACCTTTATGGCGCAGTTTCCTATGGAGGAATAGCTGGCCTGATCATGGGCATCTCAGTTCTGGGCGGAGTGAATGCCTTCCTGGATCGCTTTGCCTGTTGTCGTCTTCCAAATGGCTCCTAGATCCAGTCAGATGCAGAGACAGCTGCTTTCCCACGTTTTACCTGTGCCAACCTGTAATCGAATCACACACCCCTTCCTCATCTGGTTCTTGGGATACACACATAAATAATAAATAAATCCAGTCACACAAGAAAACAAAGGAAACCGTATAGCTACCTGCAAGGGCAATGGAAAATTTCTGGATTTGCTAAGAACATTCGGAGTATCGAATGCTTATTCCTGATAAAAATAAATAGGGTTTGTTCACTTGCACCTAAATAAATATGTGGAAAGCTCATTGGAAAATGGAAGAAGAACTTCAAAAACAAGCTCAATTAAACGATCCCCACATGTTCCGAGTTGGCTAAACATTTTAAGCACTGGTATTAATTAGACAAAAATAAAGAAAGCAGTTGAATAAACGACAATTTGCCAGAGATTAAAGGGGAGGAATAGTCTTATCTGCGGGCAGAGCCGAAGCCTGCTGCTTAGGTTATCAGATGGCATCAACACGTCCATTGTTGTCCACTTGGGCACATCACAAGAGCATTGACAATGGAGGAGAGAGCACAATCTATCGGCATATATTTCGGGCACTTCCCTTGGAGACCACGCAGGTACCAAGTCCACCATCGGAGCTCGGGAATCAGACCCCGCCCGAGGGGGTATAAATAGCAGCTGTCTGGGCTTCGGCAGACACAGTCTTCGCTCGATCGTTGGACCAGCAAGTGAAAGAAATCCCAGAAACATGAAGGTCTTCGTTGCCATCTGTGTGCTGATTAGCCTTGGCCTGGTGAGTGATCCCTGAACCGACCTAGAAAATATATTCATCTGTAACCTATGCTTTCTGTTAATTAATTGAAATCTAATTAATACCTTTCCCTTCGATCGCAGGCCTCGGCTGACTACCGCCTGAGGAATCGCAACGACATGCTGGCCTACCGCGAGGAGTGCGTCAAGGAGCTGGCCGTCCCAGCCGATCTCGTGGAGAAGTACCAGAAGTGGGAGTACCCCAATGATTCCACCACACAGTGCTACCTCAAGTGCGTCTTCACCAAGTGGGAGCTCTTCGACAAGACCACCGGCTTCAATGTGGAGAACATCCACCAGCAGCTAGTGGGACATGGCGCCGACCACAACGAGGCCTTCCACGGCACTCTGGCCGCCTGTGTGGACAAGAACGAGCAGGGTTCCAATGCCTGCGAGTGGGCCTATCGTGGTGCCACCTGCCTGCTGCGTGAGAACCTGGACCAGATTAAGAAGAGCCTGGCCCCCAAGGCCTAAGGATGGACTTGAACTCATATAAGCATTAATTTAGTTAATAAACTCTTTGATTTTCGTGAAAGTAACCGTGAAAATATATTTCATTCTCTTTAAAAGTGTTGCTTGGGTTAGTAAGAAGAATAAAATAATATTCTTGGTAGAATTTTAAAAAGATTCAAATAATTCGCTTTTATTCCGAAATATGAGTAGTCCCTTAATTTCTGTCACGTTTTTAAGGAATGATCCAAAAGATTCTCTTATCGGCGTTCCAGACCGGACCGGACCTGGATCTTCGTTTATCAGAAGGCATCAACACATCCATTGTTGTCCACTTGGGCACAACACAAAACATCATCTCCAAGACTTCCCGTGACCAAGTGCCCCATCTGCTGGTATATATATCTTGGCTCTATGCTTGGAACAGCCATTCAAAGCCGGGAATCCCAAAAAAATCGGAATACCATTCTTGACATCTGTGTGCTAATAAGCATAGGCCTAGTGAGTGTGAGATCCTGGTTAATTAATTAAATGTACCTTTCTTTCTTTTCCATGAATCACAGGCCCATGCTACCTAGAAGCGGCGGAATCGTCACGATGTGCTCATCTACCGCGAGGAGTGCGTCAAGGAGCTGAACTTGCCCGCCGATCTCGTGTTTAAGAAGTTGGAGTATCCAAACGAAACCAAGACTCAGTGCTAGTTCAAGTGCGTCTTCTTCAAGTGAGAGCTGTCCAACAACTAGACCGGCTTCAATGTGGACAACATACACCAGCAGCTAGTAAACCACCCCATTGAGAAAAATTAGGGATTCAAAGGCACCCTGGCAGAGATCAAAAAGAGCCTGGCCCCAAAGGTCTGGGATGAGCCTGAACCGATATAAGTTTCCGTAAAAGTCGCCTGTAGAAATAAGCTATTATTTATTTTCCCTTAATAGAATATGAAAATACACCAACTTACCAAGCATGAAATGTATATCATTATTTTCCCCAGTGCTGTTCACACCTCCTGTTTTAATGAAACCCTTCTTGTAAAGGTGAAAACTTTGACCAAACTTTTCTCATTCGTCATGTTGCTGTACACCAAGGAACTTGTGGCGCCGCGTCCTCCCGACCAGGGTCTGCTCCGCTTCGGGAACAAGCCAGCTGGGCTGAAGTACAGTGAGAGGTTGCGCCTCTCATTTGTCCACTCCACCATCCATGGGATGGAGCATGTCTTCGGAGAGCGGCATTTCTGGCAACGCATTCTGTGGCTCACCATTGTCGTGGGCGCTGGAGTCACCGGCTTTATTTTGTATTCCATGCTGAGGCATCGACACGCTGAGCAGCAACTGGTCAGCTTGATAGACACCACCCAGTTGCCCGTGTACCACATACAGTTCCCTGCCGTTGGCATCTGTCCTTGGGGTCATGTCAACTGGGAGCGAGCCCCGAGTGCCGCACTGCGATTTCTGCCCCGGAATCCGGATAAGGAGCTGCTGGAGACATTTCGTCAGTTACTGGTTCTCTTGGAGCTCACCTCGTTTGCCCACTTCAACAGGGCGACGGACTTGTCCACGAGAAATCTGACGGGATTGACATCACTAAGAATAATGTCTATGATCAACTACCTGGCCTATCGCTGCGATGAGCTCTTTGTCGTCGATTCCTGCGTCTTCGACGAGACCCCCTATGATTGCTGCAAGCTATTTGTGCCGGAGCAAACGGAGAAGGGACAGTGCTTGGTCTTCAACTCCATCATATCGGATCAATCACAAAAGAAGCAGTTGACCAATAAGTTTTACCCTTATAGATTGAGCACGGCTGGTGAGGATTCGGGACTGAAGTTCACGCTGAATGCCAGTCACTCCCTGGTGAAAGATGGCGTTATGTTGCCATTTGGAATGAATGTAAATAGAGGTCCTTTGCTGTTGAGCGTTACTTATGGACTCTCTCGTTTCCTTAGCTGATGATCAAGGAGCCCCGTCAATGGTCCACGGAAATGATGTATCACCTATACCCCGACACGGAGAACTTTGTGGCAGTGCATCCAATGGTCACGGAAACTTCCCCAAACACATATGAAATGAGCCCGGAAAAGAGGCGTTGTTACTTCGATGTGAGTTTATAGTACACACCGTAAATGAAAAAGATGATTTCCTCGTTATAACCCACCTAGAGCGAGCGCAATCCGTATTTCCAGAACACTACGCTGGCCTATAATCGAGATAATTGCCTGGCAGTGTGCCTCCATCAGGCCGTGCTCAGGACCTGCAATTGCTCCACGCCGGTTTTCCTGCCTCCCATAGGTAAGTCCCGGGAAACTCACAACCTCTTCTGCTCTAATAACTCTTATTACCTCCAGAGGGCATTCGGGAGTGCGGCATAGAGGATGCCCAGTGCCTGGGCAGGAATGCTGATATTTTCAGCTACGTTAAGACGGGCGACCAAGATAAGTACATCAACGACTCGCGACGCGGTCATTTTTGCCACTGCCCCGACAATTGTAATTCGCTGCAGTACAAAATGACGCTCAATGTTAGGAAATTGGATTAGTAAGTTGATCTCCGCTTTTGTTAATTACATTTCAACAAAACTGAATCACTTACAGTCCCAAAAACTCCACGCAGCACCTGATCAAGGCCCAGATCTACTATGGCCAGCGGGTGATGACGAAGATCATAACCAAACTCAAGTACACCAATCTGGATTTGCTGGCCAACTTTGGCGGCATCGTCAGCCTCTTTATAGGTGCCTCCGGCCTGAGTATTTTTGAGCTCTGCCTGGTGCTGGGAAAACTGCTGTGGGCGCTCATCAAGCATGTCAAGTCTTAAGTCATATATTTAATAATAAAATATGTAGTTACAAGATTACTTCTGCTTGGTTTCCTGGTCCGTTGGATAACGTATGTAGATAGCCGGATGTGGCACCGTGGCGGGCGCCTCAGAGAACAGGTCCATGTAGGAGCAGCCGATGGCCAAGGCACTGCCATCGCTGCTGAAGTTAAGCGTGGAAATGGAGGTGTCGTACTCGTGGAACTGGCACAGACGCTTCTTGTTGAACCCGTCCCAGATGTTCACGATGCCATCGGAGCCGCCAGTGGCGAAGGTCTGATAGACATTGTGGAAACTCAGCGCATTTACAGGATAGATTTGCTCAACGTTATTGTCCTTGTTGCGATGGCACTTGAAGGCGAATTTGCGGCGTTGCACCTCCGGATCGTGATCCAAATACTCGACAGCCACGCGGCCCTCGATGGAGGACATGACGTAGCCCTCCTTGTTGGGGAACAGCCGAATGCAGCGGGTCTGGAATTTCAGTGAGGACTCGCGCTTCATGATGTAACTGTCCATTTTGCGCAGGTCCCAGATGAGCACCTTGCGATCGTTGGTGGCCACTACGATCTTCTCGTCGATGACGGACATGGAGTAGACCTTGCCGTTGTTCTGCTCGTAGGTGCCGACGCAGCGCTTCTCGCGCATATCCCATAGCTTGATGCTCCTGTCCCAGCTGCCGGTGAGGATGCCGTTTACAAACTCGGCGTACTCCACGCACCTGATGGGCTCCTCATGCGCCCCCACAACGCTCTCCGCCTGCGTGTTCACATCGAACAGGCGCACCTGCCCGTCCAGGGAGCCGCTCACCACGTGCACAATATCCTGGAAAGGAAGGGTTAGCTGGGCATTCGGGTTAAGGCTCTGGCACTCCACCCACCATGAAGGCGCAGTCCAGGATAGGCGCTTCCTTAAGGAACTTCTGACGCATCTGGTTTGCCGCCACATCGTAGAAGCGCAAGGTGCCGTCCCAGGAGGACGCCGCCATATACTGGTTCGATTTGGGGCCAAACTTCACCGCCGAAATCAGGTCCTCGGGCGGATTGCTAAGCTTGAACTCTGGCGGACGCATCTTGTCAAGTCGGAGATATTTAGCACTAACAAATACGACAAATAATCAAACAAAATGGTTTTTAAATGAAAAAAGCGGACAAATTTGCGAGCAGTGTGCCCACACTGAACAGTGTGACCTTCTCCTAAATATTTACCTACTTTTATACAATGGTTCGAAGCTTGGGTGCAGAAGTTATACATGCTGTGCGATGTGGCAGCACTGGCTCATCAAATTGACATTCGTGGCTCTCCACTTTTCGCGCGCAATTTAAATAAGAATCACTAACTTACGATACGCCTCAATAAAAAGGAAATAAGCAAGAGCGCATTCTTCAATAACATTAATATATATTTAATAGTTCAAGTCCAACAAAAACATATACTAAATTATGAGGATCAATTTGCATATCCCCGAAAATAAAAACAGAAACAAATAGAACAAATAATTGGTTTACACTAAGCTACTGGGATGGGGAACACAGACGCAGTTAAATGGCATCTGTGCGTCGTTATGGAAGTACTCAATTTGGTGGTTCATGTTTTTCCTTTTTGATTTCTTTTCATGGGATTTCCCCACTTGAGCATTGGCCACTGCTCCTGGTGCTGCTGCAGCTTCCTTCACTTGGTTTTCTTGCGAAAGGAACGCTGATCCGGTGCCGCAGGACCATCGTCCGCCGTGCTCAGCGCTATGGCAAACTGGGCGGCATAGTAGGTAATCATTATCTGGAGCCGGGCACCGGGCAGGGGCACGCCCATGAACATGGTGACCGCGATTAGGGCGTCAGAGATCACAAACAAAGTGGCACCGATTGCACAGAACACGGTAAGGAAGCTTCTGGCGTCCACGGCGCGAGCTAGGGATCGCCACAGCATTGTGGTGATTAGGAAACAGTAGATGGGCACTCCAACAATAAGTATTTCGTCCAGTTTTTGATGCACAAAGTACACAACTGTAAAGAAGAGAAATAAGTAGAAAGTATTAGATATTTGAATTACATATGAAAACTAATAAGAAGAAAGAAAACTAACTGGGGCAAGCCGAGGATTTTGACAAATTTTATTTTAGAAAAAATTTAAATTTAAAATGGGAAATTTCTGAAAAACAATTTTTTCGGCAGAATATTTCAGAAAGATTCGCCTGCAGATGCTGATCAAGAATATATATGACTTATAGGGTCGGAAATGACTCCTTCACTTTTTTTTAAGCTTGTGACTGAAGGCGTAATACCACTTTTTAATCGATTTTAACTATAATTTTATATGCAAATTTGTTCGACAAATCGAAATTTAAAAAACTCATAACTAAGCCAAAACGGCCTTAATTTCAAATCGGAAAGCGTTCGTATGTTAGTTTTTAGCAGGTTAATAAAACTGCATACTCCATTTAAAATGTGAATTTTGGCCGATTTTTGACAATTTTAATGATGTAACCCCTTTCCTTTTTGCCAAAAATCGGAAATTTCTGAAAAAATTCTTTTTCGGCAGAATATAGCCAAAAAGATTTGCCTGTAGATGCTGATCAAGAATATATATGATTTGTAGGGTCGGAAATGACTCCTTCACTTTCTTTTAAGCTTCTGACTAAAGCGCAAAACCATTTTTTAATATATTTTAACTATATTTTATATGCAAATTTGTTCGACAAATCGAAATTTAAAAAACGCATAACTAAGCCAAAACGGCCTTAATTTCAAATCGGAAAGCGTTCGTATGTTAGTTTTTAGCAGGTTAATAAAACTGCATACTCCATTTAAAATGTGAATTTTGGCCGATTTTTGACCATTTTAATGATGTAACCCCTTTCATTTTTTGCCAAAAATCGGAAATTTCTGAAAAAATTCTTTTTCGGCAGAATATAGCCAGAAAGATTCGCCTGTAGATGCGGATCAAGAATATATATGATTTGTAGGGTCGGAAATGACTCCTTCACTCTCTTTTAAGCTTCTGACTGAAGGCGCAATCCCATTTTTTAATAGGTTTTTTAATTAATTTTAAAAAACTCATAACTAAGCCAAAACAGCCTTAATTTCAATTCGGAAAGCGTTCTTTTGTTCATTTTTAGAAGGTTAATAAAACTGCTAATGATTTATAGGGTCGGAAATGACTCCTTCACTTTCTTTTAAGCTTCTGACTGAAGGCGCAATACCATTTTTTAATCGATTTTAACTATATTTTTATATGCAAATTTGTTCGACAAATCGAAATTTAAAAAACTCATAACTAAGCCAAAACGGCCTTAATTTCAAATCGGATAGCGTTCGTATGTTAGTTTTTAGCAGGTTAATAAAACTGCATACTCCATTTAAAATGTGAATTTTGGCCGATTTTTGACCATTTTAATGATGTTTCCCCTTTCCTTTTTTGCCAAAAATCGGAAATTTCTGAAAAAAATCTTTTTCGGCAGAATATAGCCAGAAAGATTCGCCTGTAGATGCTGATCAAGAATATATATGATTTGTAGGGTCGGAAATGACTCCTTCACTCTCTTTTAAGCTTCTGACTGAAGGCGCAATCCCATTTTTTAATAGGTTTTTTAATTAATTTTAAAAAACTCATAACTAAGCCAAAACAGCCTTAATTTCAATTCGGAAAGCGTTCTTTTGTTCATTTTTAGTAGGTTAATAAAACTGCTAATGATTTATAGGGTCGGAAATGACTCCTTCACTTTCTTTTAAGCTTCTGACTGAAGGCGCAATACCATTTTTTAATCGATTTTAACTATATTTTTATATGCAAATTTGTTCGACAAATCGAAATTTAAAAAACTCATAACTAAGCCAAAACGGCCTTAATTTCAAATCGGAAAGCGTTCGTATGTTAGTTTTTAGCAGGTTAATAAAACTGCATACTCCATTTAAAATGTGAATTTTGGCCGATTTTTGACCATTTTAATGATGTAACCCCTTTCCTTTTTGCCAAAAATCGGAAATTTCTGAAAAAAATCTTTTTCGGCAGAATATAGCCAGAAAGATTCGCCTGTAGATGCTGATCAAGAATATATATGATTTGTAGGGTCGGAAATGACTCCTTCACTCTCTTTTAAGCTTCTGACTGAAGGCGCAATCCCATTTTTTAATAGGTTTTTTAATTAATTTTAAAAAACTCATAACTAAGCCAAAACAGCCTTAATTTCAATTCGGAAAGCGTTCTTTTGTTCATTTTTAGAAGGTTAATAAAACTGCTAATGATTTATAGGGTCGGAAATGACTCCTTCACTTTTTTTTAAGCTTCTGACTGAAGGCGCAATACCATTTTTTAATCGATTTTAACTATATTTTTATATGCAAATTTGTTCGACAAATCGAAATTTAAAAACTCATAACTAAGCCAAAGCAGCCTTAATTTCAATTCGGAAAGCGTTCTTTTGTTCATTTTTAGAAGGTTAATAAAACTGCTAATGATTTATAGGGTCGGAAATGACTCCTTCACTTTCTTTTAAGCTTCTGACTGAAGGCGCAATACCATTTTTAATCGATTTTAACTATATTTTATATGCAAATTTGTTCGACAAATCGAAATTTAAAAAACTCATAACTAAGCCAAAACGGCCTTAATTTCAAATCGGAAAGCGTTCGTATGTTAGTTTTTAGCAGGTTAATAAAACTGCATACTCCATTTAAAATGTGAATTTTGGCCGATTTTTGACCATTTTAATGATGTAACCCCTTTCCTTTTTTGCCAAAAATCGGAAATTTCTGAAAAAAATCTTTTTCGGCAGAATATAGCCAGAAAGATTTGCCTGTAGATGCTGATCAAGAATATATATGATTTGTAGGGTCGGAAATGACTCCTTCACTCTCTTTTAAGCTTCTGACTGAAGGCGCAATCCCATTTTTTAATAGGTTTTTAATTAATTTTAAAAAACTCATAATTAAGCCAAAACAGCCTTAATTTCAATTCGGAAAGCGTTCTTTTGTTCATTTTTAGAAGGTTATAAAACTGCTAATGATTTATAGGGTCGGAAATGACTCCTTCACTTTCTTTTAAGCTTCTGACTGAAGGCGCAATACCATTTTTTAATCGATTTTAACTATATTTTTATATGCAAATTTGTTCGACAAATCGAAATTTAAAAAACTCATAACTAAGCCAAAGCAGCCTTAATTTCAATTCGGAAAGCGTTTTTTTGTTCATTTTTAGAAGGTTAATAAAACTGCTAATGATTTAGAGGGTCGGAAATGACTCCTTCACTTTCTTTTAAGCTTCTGACTGAAGGCGCAATACCATTTTTTAATCGATTTTAACTATATTTTTATATGCAAATTTGTTCGACAAATCGAAATTTAAAAAACTCATAACTAAGCCAAAACGGCCTTAATTTCAAATCGAAAAGCGTTCGTATGTTAGTTTTTAGCAGGTTAATAAAACTGCATACTCCATTTAAAATGTGAATTTTGGCCGATTTTTGACAATTTTTATGATGTAACCCCTTTCCTTTTTTGCCAAAAATCGGAAATTTCTGAAAAAAATCTTTTTCGGCAGAATATAGCCAGAAAGATTTGCCTGTAGATGCTGATCAAGAATATATATGATTTGTAGGGTCGGAAATGACTCCTTCACTCTCTTTTAAGCTTCTGACTGAAGGCGCAATCCCATTTTTTAATAGGTTTTTAATTAATTTTAAAAAACTCATAACTAAGCCAAAACAGCCTTAATTTCAATTCGGAAAGCGTTCTTTTGTTCATTTTTAGAAGGTTAATAAAACTGCTAATGATTTATAGGGTCGGAAATGACTCCTTCACTTTCTTTTAAGCTTCTGACTGAAGGCGCAATACCATTTTTTAATCGATTTTAACTATATTTTATATGCAAATTTGTTTGACAAATCGAAATTTAAAAAACTCATAACTAAGCCAAAGCAGCCTTAATTTCAATTCGGAAAGCGTTCTTTTGTTCATTTTTAGAAGGTTAATAAAACTGCTAATGATTTATAGGGTCGGAAATGACTCCTTCACTTTCTTTTAAGCTTCTGACTGAAGGCGCAATACCATTTTTTAATCGATTTTAACTATATTTTTATATGCAAATTTGTTCGACAAATCGAAATTTAAAAAACTCATAACTAAGCCAAAGCAGCCTTAATTTCAATTCGGAAAGCGTTCTTTTGTTCATTTTTAGAAGGTTAATAAAACTGCTAATGATTTATAGGGTCGGAAATGACTCCTTCACTTTCTTTTAAGCTTCTGACTGAAGGCGCAATACCATTTTTTAATCGATTTTAACTATATTTTATATGCAAATTTGTTCGACAAATCGAAATTTAAAAAACTCATAACTAAGCCAAAGCGGCCTTAATTTCAAATCGGAAAGCGTTCGTATGTTAGTTTTTAGCAGGTTAATAAAACTGCATACTCCATTTAAAATGGGAATTTTGGCTGATTTTTGACCATTTTAATGATGTAACCCCTTTCCTTTTTTGCCAAAAATCGGAAATTTCTGAAAAAAATCTTTTTCGGCAGAATATAGCCAGAAAGATTTGCCTGTAGATGCTGATCAAGAATATATATGATTTGTAGGGTCGGAAATGACTCCTTCACTCTCTTTTAAGCTTCTGACTGAAGGCGCAATACCATTTTTTAATAGGTTTTTTAATTAATTTTAAAAAACTCATAACTAAGCCAAAACAGCCTTAATTTCAATTCGGAAAGCGTTCTTTTGTTCATTTTTAGAAGGTTAATAAAACTGCTAATGATTTATAGGATCGGAAATGACTCCTTCACTTTCTTTTAAGCTTCTGACTGATGGCGCAATACCATTTTTTAATCGATTTTAACTATATTTTTATATGCAAATTTGTTCGACAAATCGAAATTTAAAAAACTCATAACTAAGCCAAAGCAGCCTTAATTTCAATTCGGAAAGCGTTCTTTTGTTCATTTTTAGAAGGTTAATAAAACTGCTAATGATTTATAGGGTCGGAAATGACTCCTTCACTTTCTTTTAAGCTTCT